AGTTTGGCCGCACTTGTTGCACTGTGCGTCGTAGCATCTACTCGAATCTTCTTTTAAGACTTCAAAATGTCCGCAACGTTATCAGCTTTTGCTTTTATGGAGTTCATAAAATATTTACGTCAAACACGAATCGTTTAGGCAACAACAATACCCAGATGTCATAGATGCTTTTAGATTAAAGTTAGAGATCAAGGGAGCGGGATGGAGTCAATATTCGTCTTTTTAGTTAGCTAATAGCACGGACAGCGTTACAACAACGTATGTATTCAATCAATTGTTGGTGTTATTATTCTACTTGATACTGCTTCTCTGCAAAGTCTAAAATCGTAATTTTAATAATTTTTCAGTTGTGCCTAATGATATCAAACAAAAACAACTTTGAACAATTTCTTTTTTTCTACTCTCAATTTTATATGATTTTAAAATGTTGGCGAACTTCAAAAAAAAATCATGGCCGACGAATTGAGAGAACGGTTTTACCTTACTATGTTTTTATCATGGATAATACCTGTAACACAGTGTAGACAGTGTGCCAAGTAATGTCAATATTCATACCTGAACTGATCTGTTTGTGATAGTTGTTTATTTCAATTAATCCTCAGATAACACATGTTTAAAAAAACACAAATTTTTGTTGTGTAATTAAAATTGATCATAATCGCAAAGATAAATTCCTACTACTTAATTAAATAAAATTTAATTTCGTTCATTCTTTCTATTTCCACATTGGATAGATTTGGCACTGGTATTTGCTTTGACGGAACTGATTCCGGATGCAATCGTTTACGCTTTAGGCTCGTACTAGAAAGGTCGGGGGTTTTAAAATGATTCTCACAAATACGGACTGTTGGTGGCAAAGACATGTGGCAAGCTAGCTCCCACTGTCGTTCGGTACGATGAACACGGAGTCACGATACTTCGCACTCTTGCATAAAAAACACTGGGGCATTATTAGTTTTTTCGCTTTCGATATTTATTTTTTGTTAACAGTCTTCTGTTCACGATTTCAAAAAAATTTAAATTCAAACTACCAAAAAGGTTAAAGAAAGTGACAACAAATTTCAAAATTTTAACTAGCAAGTGTCAAATATGGATATGAGAAAAATTAAATGTACTATGCCACGGGTTCTACCTTCCAATGTTTTTATACCTTTCATGAGCATGAAATGGTATTATAACTTTGGTCCGATGTTTGTAAGTACCAGAACAAAAAGAGATAGACCCATGAAAATGTATACTTATATGATCAGAACGTCGAGCTGAGTTGATTTAGCCATGTCCGTCTGTCCGTCTGTCCGTCTGTCCGTCTGTCTGTCTGTTTGTATGCAATCTAGTCTCTCAGTTTTCGAGATATCCGGATGAAATTTGGTAGGTGGGTGTATTTTTATAATGTATTAATCATTTGTCGGAACCGGAAGAATCGGACCACTATAACATATAGCTCCCATACAACTGATTGTTCAGATATGAGATTTTTCATTATAACTTCTCCATTTATGTAGTTAAGAACAAGAAATTTCGCAGCACTTTCACCCATTATCAACAGAATACTTATAGTGAAAATTACAAAGATCGGGTCACTATAACCTATAGCTCCCATACAACGGATTGTTCAGATATAAAATTTTGCGTTATAACTCCTCCATTTATATAGCTAGGAACATGAAATTCCGCACTGTTTTCAATAATTATCTACAGAAAACTTACAGTGAAAATTAAAAAGATCGGGTGACTATAACCTATAGCTCCCATACAACTGATTGTTCAGATATGAGATTTTTCGTTATAATTCATCCATTTATGTAGCTAGGACCATGAAATTTCGCGCTGTTTTCACTCATTATCAACAGAAGACTTACAGTGAAAATAACAAAGATCGGGTCACTATAACCAGCAGACCCCATACAACTGATTGTTCAGATATGAGGTCTTTTATCATAACTCCTCCATTTATGCAGCTAGGAACATGAAATTTCGCACCATTTTTGCTCATTATCAACGGAATACTTACAGTGAAAATAACAAGGATCGGGTGACTATAACATATATGTATCTTCCATACATCTGATTGTTCAGATATGGGATTTTACTGTAAACTCCTTTATTTGAACAGCTAAAACCGATAAATTTCGTAAGATATTTTATAAATAATAATACAAAGTCTACTGAGAAAATCGTCAAAATCTATGCTGTATAAGCTTTATCTCCTATAGCACTGATTGTTCAGATACCAGTTTTTGCGATATATCTCCTTTATGTAGGAAACTAAACCCAATAAATTGTGTTACCGGTTTACATACCGATCACATAGCGGTGAAAATCACTTAGATTGGTGTCATATAAAGTATATCTTCCATACCTCTGATTGTTTAGATGCGATTTTTTATATAAGTATGTAACTCCTCTATCGATGTATGCAGATGTATTCAAAAGCAGTAATCTGTCAAAGTAAAATTTGCAGATGTTCATGAAAGGTATGAAGCCTTCGGCATAGCCGAAGACAGCGCTGCTCTTACTTGTTATCATTTGAGAAAGATGCTTTAAAGTGACGCATTAAATTATTTGACACTTTTAAATTTTATTCCATTTATTAATTCCAATTGATGCAGAAACGTTGTAACAATGAACTCATTTCGTTTGAGCCAAATTTTTTAAGACGATTACAAATGTGTGTATGATTATATTCATAAATATGTAATTGGCGTATGTATGTACATCTCACCAGTGAACGAATTTGTCACATGGCGACCTTAATGCAAGCAACCGTAAAGAAAAATTACCAAAAGCAGACCAAATAAAAAGATCGCAAAAAAAATTAACACGCGACTCGCTCGTTGAAATCCAAAGCGTGAAAAGAAAAATTAAAAAAACTTAAATCACACGAAATTAAACATTAAGGTGGTCAAAAAAAAATTTAAATCTAACAAATCATTTCCGAACAAGGCTAATTTTATGCAAATATTCGAAAACTCATAATACACTTTTTTTTGAAAACAGACGTCAATTAAAAACAAATTTACTGTTGTCTGTGGTTTGCAACTAATCGAAGAATATACAGTTTTGCTGTTCATTAGACTGCATCACCAAAAAAAGTTTCGGTTTTTCCGCCGGGATTACAAAATCTATTATATTTTAAGACGTCCACCAAAATATTTCGAAAAAATATTAAGATTTAAGTGAGCTGAACCGATTTGAAAATACTTCCAAGAATGGAGTTTTTTATGAATAAATATAGTTTCTTAAAGGACATTTTGAAAAAAGTCCCCTCAGATGACAAAACAGATTAAGCTTAAAAAATCTGTATAAAAATATTTAAAAATATTTTCAAGGGAATCGTAAGATAGAGTTTTTTGATGCCGTTTTTTTACTTTTTTTAAAGATTGATTTACGAAAAACTTGAAAAACTGGGCCGAAACTATTCTTATTTAGACTTTTGGGATCTCGATAGAAAGGTATTTTCACACTGTTTTTATTTCTGTCCAAAAAAAAGTCATTCGTGTCCCAAATGTTTTTTTTTTTTTTCAAATACCAACACATTTTTATTCTACTTCACGCTCGTTCATCCTACCTTTCTCTTTCATCTCTGAATGAGTTTATTAGCAAAGAAATAAAAAGGGTGAGAAAATACCTTGCCAATGACGCCTCTGAAGTCTAAATCGAAAGAGTTTAAGTTCAGCTATTCAAGTTTTTCTTATACCAATATTTGAAAAAAGTTAAAAGCGGCATCAAAAATCTCATCATTACGATTCCGTTAAAATTTTTTTTAATTTTTTTTCTTATATTTTATGCAAATTTTTAAGTTTAAGCCGTTTTGTCATTTGAGAGGATTTAAAAAAAAAAAAATCTTTAAGAAACTATTTTTGCTAAAAAAAAAACTCCATTTTTAGGGATATTTTCAAATCGGTCCAGCTCACGTAAATTTTAATATAAAATTAGACCCGTTTTTTTGTTTGTATGGGTAGTGATGCAGTCTACTGTTCATGCTTGGCAAGCATACGGGTATATTTTTGAATATGCACATTCGTTCACAATTTTCATTTCTGAACACTTTTCATTAAGTACCAAATTTCCGTTGTTAAAAATAACACCAAAGAAAAAGATTGTTCTTTCACTAACATATGCTGCCAAAATTAAAACTTGGTCCTTAGCTAACAGTAAGCGAGGGAGAAAAGTATGTAATTTCGGACGCCTTGGATACCCGGCCTTCTGCTGCTTCATTTTTAAAGGTACCCGGTCATCAGAGAAAGCGAAGCCGGCCAAGTGTTCGGACAGAAATCAAGATGTCTAGTAATGGCGATAACATCTGTTTTGCCGATATCGACATTTGGATAAATTCTTTAAAGGCGTAGAAGTTGGATACTATTCCATGGACCTTAATCCCAAGCCGACACTTGTACCAGTATTTGGCGTACACAAGACCAATGGTTATTTCGATTCTTCCAAAAAATGTTGCCATTCCCTCGTGCAAAATGTGTTTGATGTTACAGTCAACTATTTTAAAGGGCATGTTTTTTGCCTTCTTGTTCGTGTTCAGCTCACGCATTTCATAATATTGTCGTTTTAAACAACCATCTGATATTCAGGGCAACCATCTCCGCAGACAAATCTTCAAAGGGCAGAGAATGTGCCTTGTTTGCCTTATAAGAGTACGACATTTTAAGAAACGAACACAACGATAGGGGCAATCAAAGGGCGACAT